TACCAACTCACATGGCACACAATCGGTGAAACATGCCTCTGCTGTTAAACACGGTAACACCAGTGATACCAACTCACATGGCACAATCGGTGAAACATGCTACAATTTTGTAGTAGTATGAAAATAAATGATGTTTGATGTTAGAACCGTCTCGGTATTACTTTTTTTCATGCTTCGTGGGCTATGGCCGACTGGCCGTTATATGGCTAGCGATCAATGACTGTGTGATGCATATTGTCTTTTTTGTGGAAGTCGGATTTTTGCCTAAGTTGGAAAAAATCGGTTGGTCCCATTGGATCTAACTTATCTGAGATTTACTGGAGTTTCTTGATCATATGAACAAACAAGGGCTCTGACCATTCCAACCCATCGATGATTTGCACACACGGCACCGCTGGTCATGGTGACTGTATCAGTCATCATTGTCATGAACCTAGCACAGGATTTCTCTAGCTACATTCATGTACAGTGTAAATATATGTATTTGTGTTTTTGTTTCTTTTTTTGTAATATTTATTCAATCAACGTATGTTTGTTTGGCTAATATGTTTTTGAATGTTTTAGTGTTGTAACTTTTAAGAGTATTTTATGTTTTAATGCAGTTTTAAACATAATTGTAACAAATCTCACAGATCGGTCCTGGCTTTGGACAAATTTGGATAATAAAAATAATTTTAAAAATTCAATTCAAAAGGATTGCCATACATGCGTCAACGTTTGAGACAATCTTGTATATTTAAAGCTTTATTTACTCCAGGAAGTCACTGGCTGTGCTGTCCACCTTCTCCTCCAAGAGTGTGCTGAGAATTTCTTCCAAGGTGACATCCAACAATCGCTAGCCAAGTCAGAGGAACTCTTGAGCTACAGTTGGGAAAAGCTCAACACTGGACATTGGAAAGATGTTGACATAGCCTGGAGACATGTCTACACATACGGGTCGCTTCTTAAAGTTATGAGTATCTGTGCTCAATGTGACAGTGGGGATAACACAGAGGATGCATTCCAGACTAAATTTAAGGTACAGTGTTTTCAATGAACTGCCTGGTTGTGTAAATGTATCCCAATCCAACAAAAGGAGTCATAAATTACCCAGGTCACTTTGGATTGAAGGCCTTCAAAGGAATCTTGCAATGTAAGTCTATAAAAGCTTCAACAGTTTTGATCAGGGTAATGTCTGTTGTCATCGGGATCCCCAACTGAGTGTGCATCATTTCTCCAAAGTGTTCAGTTTTGCTTTTTGCGTGGCTGCCATTTTGTAGGCCAGTCCTTGTGTTCCACAGGGTAAAGCACAAAGGAGGTTTCCTGTGCAAGATGGCTACCATGCAAAGTCTCTATTGCCCATGCTTGCAAATTAAGGAATTAACTGCAAAAAACACGGATCAAAGACTCTTTTTGTGGGAACCGGTCACAAATGTTAGTTGTTTATGTATCAATCTAAGAAAAAGATTATTTTGTGTACAGAAAGCCACAGTAATGACAACTTTTGACAACTTTTTTCAGAATGACTGGACATTGATGGATTTTCTGATGATGAAAGTTCCTGTTTGTGCTTAGACTTATCTGTCAGGACACATCCCTATTGTTTTCAGAACTAGGCCTATTAGTTTTCATCAGTAGCAGGTACTTAGGCACCTGCTCATTGTGAACATGGTCTAACGCAGAATCATTGCCTGTACCTTGTTGAGACGTGAATTTGATTTCACTTTCTCTTGCTTCAGAAAGCTTTAGAGGCCTGCGATATGGGTTTACTCATGGGAGCTCCTGTTTTGGATAACATCTTGAGTCGTTTTGCTAGAGCCATACAGACTGTCTACCAGCCACTCCTTCCTGAGCACTGTAGAAGCAAAACTCAGGCATGTCCATACTATCCGTGCAAGTACATTCACAGGATTTTCACACTTTCTGCATTACACCATCATTAGTTTGATAATAATTTCCTGAGCTCAACAATGTTTAATAGTTCAATTACCTCTTATTTTGAAAATTCATCACATTTTCAGTTCTTTTCATCTTTCTGATAAACTTAAGTTGAAAGGCACCATGCTAAAAAATCACGTCCTTTTTGAAAATTTGAAAGAACGTGAATTATGATGTTGTAGTTTGTTGATTGAGCTGATCTCTTGAAAGTACCTCCTTGATTGACTTCCATCTTTGTAGTCCAGTAGTTAGTTCACTTTTCCTCCTTCCAACAGGAGCCGTTTGTCAAGCCTTCCCTTCCATCTTGTCCAGTCCTAACCATCTCTAAGGAGCATGAGATCCCTCGAGTGTCCTGCCCATCTCTCTTTCATTTCCAGTCCCAGTACATGCAGACAAAGACCCCAGTCATCATTCAGGGAGCGATGGACCACTGGCCAGCCTTAGGAGCCAAGAAATGGAGGTAAAAATCCTTCCTCCCCAGTGATCCTGTCATTTCTTTAAGTGTGGAATTCTTCCCTTTGTTTGTGTCTTTGAGATGAATTTGATAAGTTTGTTTATTTACATTTGTTTGTAGTCAGATTTCTTGCATACAAATTTGAACTTCCTCATTTAAAATTTGCTGTTGATAGAATCTTATCCAGATAGCAATCCCTATGCATCACAGGTGTATTTGTTTACATTCTTAGAGTGTCACTCCCTTGTCAATTATCAGTTTTATTTGGGTTTGTGTCTTCACAGTTTAGATTATCTACATCATGTAGCAGGTACTCGTACAGTTCCTATAGAGCTTGGAGCTAAGTACACCGACGAGTCTTGGTCGCAGTCACTGATGACAATCTCAGACTTCATCTCAACATACATCGAAGGGAAGGTACTGGTTTTGATATTGTCTCATTGTTCCTTTTGAAGCACGCCCTCTGTTGATCTGACAATCTTGAAAGTGAAATATCAAGACAGAGGTATCAAGAACATAATTGGCAAATTGGTGCTGATGTTGAATACGTGCAGAAAATTACATTTACCTGATGTTCAGATAAGTTCAGTTAACTAACAAGTTACTCATTATTCTGTGGAAGTGCTGTGGTTAAGATGAAATTCTTGGGTGAAGTTTCCTAAGCCAGTGAAGTCGAAAGAAAAGTCCTGTGAGGTTAAAAGATAATCTTTCTTGAATGAAATACAGAGAGTATTTTTTTTCATTCATATAGAAAACATCACAGGGAAAAGGTCAGGTGGGATATTTAGCCCAACACCAACTGTTCTACCAGGTAGGTTTTTGTCTTTGTTTGAATTTTAGTTACAAAGGAAAAAAAACCGATTGGCGTTATTCTTCATTCTTGCATTGAGAATTGAATGTTAAAAGCTGACTTTGTAATTGTTTGCAATTGTGCCTAAATTACTGATAAGATATACATTTACCAGAAGCTTTGTAGATAGCTGAAGGAGAAAAAGTTGTTGTTTGTTTTGAAACGTTTTTTGTGGCTGTATTTCCTCCCACACTCGATAAAATAAGAGGAACCTATAACATAAGAATATCCACCTTTCTCTTCTCAAAAAATGGACCACATGGAACACAAGAGGGGGCACTTGTTGAAATGCAAGTTGCTATCATAAAATTTCTGGCCAAGCAATTTCGAACATGAGGCAAGATTTAGTTGACGTGGCTACTTAACCCCAACCTTCCCACGTCCTTCAAAATCCACAAGGAAGTTTTGAAGGATTTTTTCTATGGGGCTTGATGCCCCTTGAAAGCTGAAGTACATATACACAGAGTGTGCCATTAATTTCCTGCACTTCAGGGATGCAGAAGAGTTTCCTAAAAATGTGTTCAGAGTTAGGGATAACAGTTTTCAGCCATTAATCATTTTGGTGGAGATTTTTTTCTCACACACTATGGGGATATATTCTTAGGCTGAGGGAGCCTTTCGATATTACCACAAATTAATTTGGTGTTATAATTAGCCTCTTACATACATGGCACAAACAGAAAAATAGGACAGTATCAACAAAAACCAACCATACACTTTAAAACGTCGCACCTTTGTGTCATTTGTCGCCCGATCTTTAATTGTTTGATCAGTCAAAATGCTTGTGTCAACAAATGTCTTGCTGTACCGTGTTTCCTAGTCTTGAAACAATTGTCCTGAGAAGGAGAGTAAGAGATATAAATTATAGAAGCATGTTTATAGTTACTGTTCATTTTTGTATTCCAAATGCTGTCTTGTGAAACCGGCTTGCTGTAAGAAGATTTACCCTTTATGATTAATTTAGGAATCTTAATGGAAAATACTTGCGTAAAAGAAGAGCTACAATGTAAAAACAGTTGAAAGGATTACCATTAAAGTGGTAACAGTTATGAAGGATTGGTTACCTCTGGACATTTTGTGCAGATCCACTTTGCCAGGGGAAAAAAAGAAGTCATTTATCTCTCTTCTTGCTAGCTTTGTAGCCACTGTAATTCATCAGGAAGTCACGTTCGTAAAAGACGGGTGAAATGGATTGTTTTGTACTTATGCCATGGTGTTTGCCAGCAAAGGCTTTAGGAATGGTTTGTATATTACCCACTCTATCAGCTGACAAAACTTTTTAATGGAGTAAAGGCTTTGAATTATGTTTGAAATTCAACAGAAGCTCCCAGTATTTCCCCGCCCCTCTTTCATTTTAGAGAAAAAAGGTAACCAAGCTTACCTTTTGAAAGGCTTACTTGTGTCTGCTAACTGCAATAATTGAAGCTGTCTCTCCTCAGAGAGAAAAGGGCAAGTTTTTTATACAGGCAGACAAGGATCAGATCTATCAATCATGGCTTGAATGGTGCCGGGAGTCAAACCTAAGGTCACCTAAAAATTGCTGGACTAATGAGAATGGCATCTGATTTCTGTGTCGGTTTTGAATGCAGTTCTTTGTTGAGGCATTAGGCTAGCTAAACATATTGCATAGTTACATGTACATAAACGCAAGTCATTGGAAATAATATTGTCAGATCCTCAGATAAAAATTTGTTTCTTAATCTTGTTTTCCTTGTTGCTTAAGATTTTCTGTGATATGTTAATATTCCCTTTTCAGTATTTCCTTGCCTTACATGCACCTGGAAATCTTTGGCAATATGTTGTACATGATCATTAATGGCACAACTGTCAAATCCCACACATATTTTTTTCTTCACACTGACAAATTTGTTTTCCTTATTGGCTCATTTAACTCTTTATTTTCCTCTTTTTTTATTTTTTTGAGGTTCATTCCTTCCCTGAGTCTATCATGTCCTTCTCCAATCATCTCCTGCCATCAAACTCCATCATTTTCCTCCATGTTCTTTGTCCCATCTCCCCCTTCTCCTAACTGGTATAATATCTTTTTCCTGTTTGGCACTTTTTTTACTAGAAATCAAAGTAATGTCCATGCCACAAATCACAAGACGGAAGCATCATTAACAAGATAACCATTTGTACAAACAGCCTGAAAAATGGAATAACAAGTTAATGAGGAAATTTATTTACTCCGATTGATCCTAATAGTTATGTGACCAATGTGCTGAATTGCCATAACAACTACTATCTCCACAAATGAGGATAACGAATGATATCCCTCAGGCATATTTTCTTAATCTGCCAGCTTAAAATCTGACATTTTATGAAGGAATGAAGATTTCAGATAAGATAGCACAGCTTCAGATTATGCAGATGATGAGGGGAGTTCCAAAACAAAGTTATAAATCACCTTGAGATTTTGCTTCAAAATTGAAGCTTTGGCAATATCAAGATCTGTTTTAGGAGGAGGAGTTAAACAGAAGTGACTTTGAACGTCAAACCTCACCTTGTAGTGCTACTGCTGCTGCTTGTAAAGAAAAAATACTCAGGGGAAAAGAAGTAAATTGAGGGCATCAGTCAAGAAATATCTCTGGTGCTGCAAGGTGCTGGAAGCTTTTCATTAGCCAGAAATAAAAGATGTTTATTGGAAAGAAGCTGAGTCAGATTCTGTTTCCGACCTTATCTCTCACGATATGTAGCTCCTCCACAGCATTTGTATTAATGCGAGGATAATGAGATTTTTGATTATCTGAGAAAAAATATTTTGAACCAAAGGTCAAGGATGTGTTGATGCTGGCGACTGCACAAGTCAAACTTTCAAGGTTAAGGACCCAGTAACCTTGTAACCGTGTGTAATTTTGCAAACGTTGATGACGATGACTTAATATATTTCCTAATTGTGACAAATGAGGAGACCTTGTGACTACTCATAATTGCGTGAGATGGCGAAGAGTTGGAAAATTATTTTTGAAGTAATTTAGGAAATTGTAGATTAGTGATGGTCACTCCTCTTCCACAAGCTTGTCACCATATCAAACCTCTATATGACCACAATGTTAATCCAAATCAGATAAACTAAACCCTGTCTATAAACTACACCCCACAGCGAGGGGTGCAGTGATGAGCCTGGCTGTGGGGTGCAGTTAAGAGCATAATAAGTGTAATAAAAAGTAATAAAAATAACTTTTCTGTTTTGAGATAAAATAGTTAGAAAATTCATATATCTCTTTTGTGAGTTTTGTGAGTAATATGTCTTTGTAAGCATCTCCAAAGAAAAGAAAGATACTTTTCCATATTGTTACCATTCACCTATTACTTAATTTTCCATCCTCACCATGGAAAACTTCCCATCTCACCACTTGTTCATTGCAGCCTTGGTTCTGCAAGTACCCAAATGTGTGTAGAAAAGATCGCCACATGCAGCAGAATCTCTGCAATCAACCCCCCCCACTGTTTCTCCTTTCCAGTTGCACAAACATTGCCCCATCCTCCTTTAAAATTGAGCTTCAGATTTCCCCATCATCCACACCTGCTCAATGTTGAAATAGTCTAAATTGAATGTTCAACAGGTTGACATCATATGTCCAATGCAGAAACTGTTACCAAGTTCGGCCCAGTATATTTAAAACCTCCAGAATGTCAGATTGGCAACCATCCAACATGCACTGACACCCTGCCCCGGGGAATTTCCCTGTCACCCCTTGATCTTATTTCATTTCTGCTCTCTGTTCGTTTAATCTTATTATTCAATTCAGGACACGGAGAATTACCTTCTTCTCCCCACTTGGCCCCCAGGGGGCGATGTTGTAGTTGATGAAGTTGATATGTGTGAAGGAATCCAATTCTTCTTTTCCATTTTGGAAAACATCTGTTTCCATACCTTCCAGCTTGTACCTTCATTTGTACATGAAACATCTCTTCTAACTGACATTTTTCTCCTTGTCTGTTGTTACTTGTCCCTCGGTGTGCGTCACCCATTTTGTCATTTTTCTTGTCTTTCATTAGGATTCCCATTATGTAAGATACGTAATACTATGACTTCTTGATCGACTGTGTACATTGTATTTCTCTTTGTAAAAAGCCAATTATGGTTCAAGGATGCGCTTCAGTCGAACGTTGTGTGCCGCAGATCCACAGTGAAGTCTAGAGGAAAGGTCAACTCAATGGACACAAAATGGCTGGTCTTATCAAAGATGGCACCAAGGTGCCCACAGTTATGTTCCTCTCTTTTTGCCTTTTTTTTCTTATAAGAATTATGTGGACCATTAAAGGGCTATGATGTGTGCATATCTAGACAAAAAAACCACTTCAAGCTGTGCCATTATTCATCCATTTTGGGTGACGCTCCTAGCAATTCCCTTTATATTCAGTTGACGTTTGTATTTTTTTGGTACTGAATCATTCCGTGGATCTGTGATTCAGAAATGGCACGCAACTCATTGCCATTTTTGGCTCACTTTCCTCAGGGGAGAAATTTCCAAGTTGTGGTAATTACCAGCACAAATTGGCATAATGTGAGATCAAATTGGCACTTATGGTAAGAAATGGATGTACTCTGGGACTTCTGGCAAAGACATCAGAAAACTCATGATTCACAAACAAATCCTGTGCAAAGCCCCTCTATGGGGAAGAAAACCAATTAACTTCCAAAAAATGTTAACTTCAATCAATCATTCACTCTGACACTGCCCTAAACACATATAGTCCCTCTAGAAAACTATTTCAGCTTCACATGAAAAAAAAAGAGGAAAAATACCTCATTTTGTTTTGTTTTGTTGCTACCCAGTTCCAGTTCTGAACAGGTGAAAGGATAAAATTCTAGTCTAACCCCTGTAGCACAACCTGGCCCAGTTACACGCTTATTTTCCAAAAAGATTGAAATTGTAAGGCTTCATATTTACCCATTTTTTTCCAACAGTGCCCTTTTTGTTAGTATCCTTGGTCAAATTGTGGAAATGATAGTG